GGGTTGATGAGGGATCTTAGGGGCAAAAATTGGGATATAACAGCATGTACCTGATCTTAAGATAAATATGATTTCTCTTGGTGAATTCAAAAATAAAGGATATGTTTTCAAAGGAGAGCAAAGTATCTTAAGGTTAATGAAGGGGTCGAAGGAATTCACGAGAGGCATCAAGAGACAAGGCCTATATACCTCCGATGCTGAGGTTGTAAGTGGTTCATCAAATGTGACATCCACAAAACCTGTGTCAAATACTGAGTTATAGAACAAGATACTTGTCCATGTCAATGAAAGAGGCCTGGTCGAATTGTCGAAACAAAATATGTTATGTGGTGAAAAGAATGAAAATATGGAGTTTTGTAAACCGTGTGTATTTGGTAAATTCTTTAGGGTAAAGTTTAACGAAGATAAATAAAGAATACATTGATCCCTGGATTATATTCATGCTAATCTTTAGGGGCCTGCAAGGTTCCTTTCATACTCAGGTACAAGGTATTTTCTATCCATAGTTCATGATTATTCCAGAAAATTATAGATATTGATTCAAAAGACTAAGGATGAAACTTTGATAAATTCAAAAGTTGGAAGACTCTGGTCGAAAACCAAACTGGAAAGAAGGTTAAGAGGTTGAGGAGCGAAAATGAGGATTTCGATAACTATTGTGTTGCATCTGGTATTATAAGGCACATAACTAGTGCAGGTACTCCCCGACAAAATGGTTTAACTGAAAGGGTTAATCGAACCATTTTGGAAAGAGTTAGATGCATGTTGGTTAGTGTTGCATTGAAGAAGGTATTTTAGGTTGAGGTTGTTTCGACAACATCACATCTGATATAAAGATGTCCCTCTAATGCCTTGGAGATGAAGACACCTAAAGAAGTCTAGTTGGGACATCCACCTAATCTCGATAGACTTAGAGTAGTTGGATGTGTAGCCTATGTTCACATTAGTCAAGACAAGGTCGAACCTAGAGCTCTAAGATGCATGTTCATGGGATACCCTAAAGGAGTCAAAGCTTATAGGTTGTGGTGCCTAGAGCCAGGTCACAAGAGGTGTATCACAAGTTGAGATATAGTTTTCAATGAATTAGAAGTGACTTCCAACAAAACTGATGATGCTGGTCAAAATGCAGAAACCTCTGAAGAGGAGTTGGAACAAGAAGAGATTCATGTTGAGGTTGAGCATATTGATGTTGAATTGCATATTTCAGATGAAGTCGAACAAGAAGCAAAAGTTAATGATGAAGATGAGGAAACTGATAACGATTACTCGTTGGATAAAGATAGGTTAAGAAGAGTCATCAATCCACCTCATAGACTAAATTATACAGATCTCATAGCTTTTTCCTCAATCTCTGCAAGTGAGGTCCTTGATGAAGAACCTAGAGACTAAAAGGAAGATGTGAGGAGTCGAAATAAGACTGAATGGCTGAAGGTCATGAATAATGAGATGAAATATCTTCATGATAACCTCACTTGAGAGTTGATCGAGAAACTTGCAGGAGCCAGGTTAGTGAGTTATGAGTGGATTTTCAAGGTTAAGGAATGAATCAAAGGAGTGATGTTGAAGAGATACAAGGCAAGGTTGGTAGCAACGGGGTTCACTCAGAAAGAAGGAATATAATTCAATCATGTGTTCTCAAATGTTGTAAAGCATGGATCCATTAGAATATTGTTAGCCATGGTGGTGAAGTTAAGCCTAGAACTTGAACAAATATATGTGAAGACCGCCTTCTTATATGGTGATCTAGATCAAACAATCCTCGTGAAGCAACCTGAATTATATGAAGAAAATGGCAAGAGGATTATGCGTGCAAGCTGAATAGGTCTTTTACATGGTTTAAAACATTCTCCTCCTCACTGGAATGGGATATTAGACAAGTTCATGGCACACATAGGTTTCACTAGAAGTCAGTTCGACCACTGTATTTACTTCAGATTTTAGCCTGAAAATTCTCTTGTAATTTTTTTGCTTTATGTAGATGACATCCTCATAGCAAGCCACCGTATCGAGGATGTAGTGAAGGTAAAGGTTAAAATCGATAAGGAGTTCGTCGTGAAGGATCTAAGAGCTGCCTCCAGAGTTCTTGGGATTGACATCCAGAGAGATAGAAAGCATTTGAGATTATGCTTATCTCAAGAGACATACCTAAGGAAGATTTTATACAAATTTGGTATGTCGAATTAAAAGCTTGTTGTAACACCGACTAATCTTCAATTCAAGCTGAGTAGGACTCAAAGTCCTAATACTGAATTTGAAAGAGCCTATATGAATAGTTATCTATCACCATTTATGTTATATTTTTTATCACTTATTCGTCAAAAGTCCATGATAACTGTAGAACTTTGTTCATGTATTTTGTGTCTGGTCGGTGTTTGTTAGGATTTGAGTTATTTTGGATAGTTTTTACGCTTTTGGTATATGTAACATGTCTGATACAGGTTCTGGAAGTCAGAACATCAAGGAACAGATCAAAACAGTTGAACATGGCATGAAAATGGGAGAAAATAAAAAAAGTGCATAAGCCTGCCCATACGTGTATGGTACGAGGTCATACGGGTATGGCCCTACCTATTATGCGTATCATACGCAACTCAACAAAAGATTAGAAATTACACATTTTGGCCCATACGCGTTTCATACGCGTATCAGTGTCAGTCTGCCTTTGTACTGTCTATGTATCACTAAGATGCTGCCCAAAGCCATACGCGTATGGAAGCCCATAATTTTCCAAGGCCCAACAGTGCATCTATTTAAGTTGGGAGCGCGATTTTTCAAGGGTTAGACAATTTTTTACGACAAAGAACATCGTTGAAGGCTGAAGAACTCGAATTTATGCTTGAAATCAAGATTTTCATGAGCTTTTGCAATTGAAGACATATTTTCCATCCATTATTTGTAATGTCTACACTGAATACTATGTTTTTATTTAATATTATGAGTAGCTAAACCCTCAATGCTAGGGGGTGTCCCTGATTCGGATCTGTAATGACTTTGAGTTTCTTATTGCAATGAAAATATTTTTTTTCATTATTAATTTATTCTCATGGTGATTTTAATGCTTTCTCTTTAGGACAAATTAAGATTGATGTATGATTAATAATTAGGCTTAACCGCCATTCATAATGTCTTCATGAGAATATTCTATAGTAGATATCACCTAGGACTAGGGATACCCTATTAGAAATCAAATTATTCTTGATTCAATAATGCTTAATTTCATTAGTAAGTTTTTTATGGACCTAGGTCTTAGGATGACTGATTAAAGAGTTTCTCTCTAAGGACTTAGGAGTAAAGACCCTTAAGAACCGCAATTGATTATTTAAAATATGTCGTTGCAATGATAATTCATAGTTGTTACAGGAATGAATCACACACCGTTCCTAGCATGTTACTCATATATATCGAAATTGTTCACCACATCTATTTACTTTATTCGCAATTATTTTCATAATTTAACAAATTCAAACACTAGTTTTTGTTTAATTGAACTACAAATCAAACTTCATATTTACTACAGAGGAAAAATAATACACTTTCTATTTTTCAAATCAAATAGCATTCCATATACTAGTATAGCAGGTTATTTGATGTATGATATGGTCAGTACAAGGTCAAACATAGCGTATAGAGTGAGCCTTGTAAGCATGTATATGGCTAGTCTTGGAAAGGCGCAATGACAAGTATTAAAGTGGATTCTAAGATACATAAATTGGTCTATGAGCAGAGTTTTAACTTATGGTGGAGTCTGTCGTGATTATAGTAAAATAGAATTGAAGGAAATGTCGACTCTGATTATTTGGGTTATATGGATTCCAGAAAATCTATTTATGGATATGTGTTCACTATGTTTGTCACAAAAATCAGTTGAAAAACGACACTTTAGAAGATTGTTGTCTTATCAACCACTGAAGCAGAATATATTGCCCTCACTGAAGTTGTGAGAGAAGCATTGTGTCTTGAAAGTTTTTCTAAGGAGCTGAAACTTCAAGGTCAAACTATCACTGTTAAATGTGACTGCCAAAGTGCAATACACCTGTTAAAGTATTCAGCCTATCATTAGCTAACCAAGCACATCGATGTAAGGATGCACTTCGTCAGAGAAATAATCGAGCGTGGAGAAGTTCAAGTGTTGAAGGTTTTGACTGAAGATACTGTTGCTGATATGAACACCAAGACATTGCCAAACTGCAAATTTTTTCACTGTATGCAGTTGATAAAACTACATGATAAAAGCTAGTTTGTTCGCTTGATGTTGTAGAGTTTTTCCAAGGTGGAGATTTGTGAGATTTTAGATCGAACTCTAGTCTCGACAAGGGTAGCTTCTTGGTTTGACGGAGATTAAGTATGTTGTCGATATTTGTTCACATGCTGATGTTGAAGTCCTGCATGTTGTAGTTGAAGTACGCTCAAACATGCAATAGTCGAAATGCTAGGATTGTTAGCATATCAAATTGAGTCTGTCTATTTACCTTAAATTAGCTTTTAGCTTAAGTTAATTTAGTAGTCTATAAATAGACTAGTTCTCTCAGATTGTTGAGAGAGATTGATTGTTGGTATTCACTTGTTTTTTTTTAGAAATCCTGGTATCCGACCTTGTGACCAACTAAACCAAGACTATAAACCCTTATTAAGAAAGTGAATAGTAAAACAATTATAATCAATCGTGATATTTTCTTTCTTCTTCATCCATCTTCTCTCTCTTTTGTGAAAATCTAATAGGATTTCTTGTGTTTGTTCAAAAAATTTAATTTTTCTCATAATTTTAGTTTGTTCTTGAAGGAACTCTGTTACAACACATCTTATATATTATGTTGATTTTATCCTAAATATCTGCTATAGTTTTAAATAAATTTAAAGTGAAACATTGTTAAAATACTATATAGATACTTACATTCTTTCTTATTTCATGAAATCAGTGCTACACATTTGCTTGAATAAGATGAGTACACAGTAACACAAGCACGACTCCTCAAAGTCAGTAGTCACATACACTATACTGGTTAACTTAAATGGCTTCCAGAGCATGCCTGTGTTAGCTCTAATGGCGTAGGAGTTGCAAGTTTGAGTTCTAAATCAGGTGCTTCTTTTTGAGGACTACAATTCGTTGAAATTGAAGAGTTAGGCCATTTCAGCACTGAATATTGAGGATGACAAAGCCACTGAGAAAGAAAGTTTCTTCTGCTACTTAGTTGGCTCATGCAGCTAATATCATTTGCTGTCAAACTAGTCATTCCTGATAATGAACCAAAAGCTTCACTTGGTTCATAAAATGCTTCAAATCTTGTTTTACTTTCACCTCCCACCTGCCAAAATATATTTCAGAATCAGATAGCAAAAAAATAAGTAAATTGAAAGCAATGTTTGTGCATGTAACTCTAATTCCAAGCACATATACGTAACTATTTTAAATATGGAAAGAGATGTTTTATAATTTTCTTACACTAATGAGACTGAGATTGTGTTGTGTTCTATTCATGATGCTTTTCGAATAGACACGAATAAAATGTTTTTGTGCATGACTTGCCACTTGGGTTGGTGTTCTTGTTGTCACAAAATCTTTAGATATATTTCTCCAGTTACCCTTCCCATGTTTCTCAAGCCCTCTAAGAAACCTATAGTGTTCATCCTCAGTCCACAACATACCTGACCATAGAAATTTATATTCAGATTAATTCAACTCTATAAAACTGACTTATAAAATAAAAGATATAATTATAACCTTTTTTACTGCATGGAATTGTAGATATGAGGTCACTTCCAGAGTAATTTTCTGAACTTTCATTTACACGAAATCGGGAGTTAAGGGATGAAGGTGAAGAACAAGAAGAATAAAGATAAAGTTGTTTGTGACTTAGAGTGTAACTACAAGTCCTTGAATTGTGACCTATAGTTCCACAATATGAGCATTTTCTAGCTACTCTCATTTCTTAACTTAACTAAGAATATCCCTAGGATATGTGATCAAATTGTACAATGAACCTACCCACCAAACTAGCACCACCTTATATATACACACTATAGAACATAACATGCAATATTATATTTAGACTCACAAACAAAACAAAAGCAATTTTGTTATGCGGTCTTTGATGGCACTATTGTAAAGTGGAAGTAAAAAAGTCTATTTGAGGAAAGTCCAGTAGAATAGAGGACATGGTTTTTCATATTTTGGACCTTTCTCACCCAAGGTTTTGGAGTTTCATTGGATAACAGAACTAAAGGAAGAAACTTAAGTCCTTTGTTTTCCTTGATTTCTTTTTTTGATTAAGTGCTTTGCATCAATTATTAATAAACCATCCAAACTTGTAAAAAGTTTATCCTGAGTTTATTGTACAGTTATCTTTTAAGTGGCACAGGCATGCGGGACAAAAAATATTCTTGCTAGATATCATGCTGTAACTATATAAGCAACGTTGGATAACAGTAATTCTTATTTTCTTTATATTGAGATTTCTTTTATCACAAGGTTTTATTTTTTATTTCCCCTGGCCTTTGTGGTTGTTTGGTGATTAGCATAAGAGATATAAGATAGAATAATCAGTGCGGCCTCAATGTTTTTTTGGCTTAATTCGAAATTTGATTTAAAATATTCATAAAAATAGGAGTTTGGAAGTCATGTTGTGAGTATTGTAAAATCATCTATAATAAACTTAGATAATCTCAACATAAATAACAGGTTTGTTTTGGATGCAAGGTTGTTAGAGTGGATCTTCACTGCATCTATTTTCACTGTGAAGAGTATATCTCTTTGGTGTCGTCTTGCTTTCTCTGAGACATTTAAAGATGCTCTTTATAAGGTGGTTGTTGAGTCGAGATCTGTAGGTGTTTGGGTTCGGTTGTTACTTCTTCTTCGTTGCACTTTTTAAGTAGTCAAACCTCATAATAGGCGGATTGTAGTTCTAGAAATCGGAAGTCCTTGCAATGATAACACATTTTGGAGTGCTTAGTTACTTGAAGAAACGTAAATGGTCTTGTCAAGATAGCTAATATTGTGTTGGGAAGCTCTGAGCAAGATGATTTGGGTCACGAGGGAGCTCATATTGAGGAGAAAGATAAAGAGATCTGCTCTAATCCCAAGCAATGTCTCTGGAAGGTTACAAATATCCACTTCACAATGGTTGTAAAAGTATTGGGGTCATTTGGAATGTCCCCCTATAACAGACATACAATGAAGGTTTTGGATCTTAAGCACTCGTACAGACCACCTCACTCTATACTAACCACCTTGTTCTCCGAAGCTCCTGTAGTGGTTAAAGTTGATACTATTTTCAGGTGAATTCAATCATTTCTCAAATGGACATTATGTGATAGGGATTACTTGCGAGCACAACATATATTAAACACATTGTGTGGAGAAAGTTCAATGGTGGCAAAACACTATTACAAATAACATTTTTCATGATGAAACTTACACCTCGAACAAGGAAAAAGGAAAAAATGAGGGTATAGATCCTGGGAGCACCATATTTTATTATTATTTTTTTAATAAAAATATTAGACCTCAGATATTTAATAAAACCGAGGGAAAATAGCAATAATGGAACTCGCTTTGACACCCCGTTACTGTATTTTAGGTTTTTTTTCAATTGTTTAATTAGTATTTCTCACTTGGCCCATTTCTAAATTCCATTTTTATTTTTTTTTTATTTGTTACATTAGTATTTACCTCGACTACCGGGTTCAACTGAGAGGTAATATATTTTACATTAAAAATTTCATAATACTAATTTCAAAATCTTATTTTAATACTTTATTTGATATATTTTAACCCCTTGGTTTTCTATAAAAACTGAAGTCATATATCTTTTAAATGAATTTCCAGAATATGGCGCTATGAAGTTTTTTTTATATTTTAATTTTTAATTAATACAATCACGTTGATTTTTGTGTAAAACCGACATGACATTTATTTTGCATGAAATACTTCAGACTACTATCTAGTTTCTAACTTTTCATTTACCTATAAACACTCAAACGTCAATTCGTCACTCTCATTTTGCAACAAAAAAACTTAGGTGATTTTCAAGTTGATACTCATCAAAACTCTTCCAACAGATATTCATCATAGCAACAGGTTTGTTCTTCACTGAAGGTTTGATTCATCTTGATAGTCATTAACGTTACTTTTTCACTAAAATAATCTCTTGATCATTTTGTTTAGGGTTTCTTCGTTTATTTGTATATTAATCATTTTGTTTAGGGTTTCTTCATTTGTTTTGACTGAAACGTTACTGTTTGATTCATCTTGATAGTCATGGCCAATTCCACAAGCACCTCCCAAACAACATGTGCTGCAAACTCTGTTACAAAATGTAAAAGAAAAGCTAGAGGTGTTATGATGTATACAAAGGTGAAAAAATCCAACAAAACTGGTATTCGCTACCCGGTAAGAGTCGATGCAGAAACCGACACAGCTTCTGGTGAACATGCTGATGATTTTTTTTGGTTACAAGATAGAAGTAAATTGAGTATTTTGATAGATAGTTGGTGTGATATTGATGATGAATTGAAAGACAATATATGGACTGATATTACGGTATTTATTTTGTATTCTATCATTTGTTTTACAAATATATTTTTTGTTTAATACTAATAACATCTCTATTGTCTAAGCATAGGATGTGTTCATTGTTACTCCAAATGATAAGCACGTGAAAAAGAAAATACTTGCTTATTATGGTGAGCATTGGAGGGGGTTTAAGACACAACTCACCCATGATTATATTAAATATGGAGAAGATAAAGAACTGTCTCCATATGAGGTGTTGTTGAAGCGGTAAAACGACAGCAAAAAGTAAATATTAATTTAGTTTTATCATATTGTCTCGCCAAGGATTAGCGCGACGGAAAAATTATCGTTCAATAGTCTCAATCTCTCTAAGTTTGGTTTTGGATTTGCGGAAGGTAAAATGAGGGAAAGTAAATAAAGCAAATAAACAATCATTTGTATCCCAAGAGAATTCATTATGGAATTGTATTTCATTATACTCGTCAAATACTTAAACTCGCAGATCAATTACACTCAACCAACAATAGTCATCAAAATCATCGAGCATCACTCTAGATGTACCACAATATAGGTTATGTCTAACACAAAGTTGAGATAAAAACTGTATCCTTCACGTCGATAATTTCGCCCGCAACACAAACAGCACAGAGGCATTAAGCTTCGATACCGACAATGATTATTAGCTCTAAATCTATCTCTAGAATCTAGAAACTAATAGATATACATCCCTAACTAGAATTTGTGAGGTATATGTCTATAGCAACCCAAATCCAAACATAAATCAAAAAGATCAAGAAAGACATCGATAAGAGTCAAAATATACATACAACACCCACCAGTAGAATGGTACACAAGGAAGGAGGAGATGAAGAAGAAACTTCTCGTGGTGTCAATGCGATCTGAGATCACCCATAGCCAAACGGTGAGATGTAGCACCCAATGATGTTACCTAAACCTCTAAACTATAGAGAATTGGATCGGAACTCATCCATGGAGGAAAGAGATGATAAAAAACCTAAAAAATATGTTCTAAACTATTTATACACAAACTAAAAATTGCAGACCGCGCTAAGCGCCAAAACCCGCGCTAAGCGCACTATCACTTATTACACCAAACCTCCTTAGAGCATGCTAAGCGTCCTCATACCGCGCTTAGCATGCTCACCTCTTCCTGACCACTCAACACGCATGTTATGACTCCGCTTAACCCGACCCGGAACATGTTATTTTCTTACAAAACTTGCATCTTGAAGTTTTATTTGATCTTTATTGTTCCATGCTTCAACAATGCGATAAATTCTACAAAATGGGATAAAAACTATTAATCGATATACAAATGACTCAAAAACACAAATATACATAAAGTATACATATTTACAAACAAAGTTGGGATTTATTCAACGAATATTAACAAAAGAACTGATAAGTGCCACAAATTATATACACAAAATACCGACATTTTGACACTTATCAACTCTCCCCAACTTGAACTTATTTGTCCTCAAACAAGGCCAAACAAACTTAAAGAAGCAAAAGTAATCAAGAAAAGAATCATGAATCAATAGGTTTTAAAAACGAAAACAAATGTATGGTTCAAACAAAAATGCACAAGCAAAGTAAACTTACCACAATCCTACAACGAAAACATGAAAACAAAACGAATCCTAAGTACAAAAATTATGAATCACACCTTGCTAAAATTCATCAGTAGATGAAGAACACACAAAAGTGAGGGACTTGACACTCATTCAACAATCTTGCAAACAAAAGACTAAATTATACATTCATCCAAAACTCATATTCAAAATATAAAGGCAAGAATCTCAAGGACTTTCAAGGTTGTAATGTAGTCGGGCAAACAAACAAGCGACAATTTCTAAAGCTAATTGAAACAAAAACTTGCCTAAAACTAAGGGAGTGATCAACTCACAAAGTCTCAAACACAAAATTTCAATTAAACTTCTTCTACATTCCCAAATTGTCAAACCAATCACATAACTTATTAACACAATATTATTTGATACTCTTTTTATTTTTATTTTTCAAAACATTTCTCTCTTTTCTTTCTTTTTCTTTTCATTTCTTTTTCACTTTTTTTTTCTTTTTCTTTTTTCTCAACCTCATTTAAATCAACACATAAGCAAGCAAACATTTCTCTCCCCAACTTGGATTCAACCAACATCAAAGTGTGAATACTCCCTACTTTCTAAGATAAGGTAAAAAATTTAAACCATAAATCATGGTTAAGGATTCAAGAAAATAAAGAATGAACATATATTCAAAAAGGTGAACTAAACACTCATAGAAAAGCTTCAAGTTCAAAAACAACACGAACATTGACAAAAAGGCTCAAAGGGGTTAACAAATGCTCACAGACTCACAAGGTGAATTGACTATTTGGTTAGATAGTTGTGC